TTCATGTAGTGGATGTACAGTATATATATTGTACTGTTACTTATGGTGGTTCATGTAGTGGATGTACAGTATATATTGTGTATTACTTATGTTGGTTCATGTAGTGGATGTACAGTATATGTACTGTTACTTATGGTGGTTCATGTAGTGGATGTACAGTATATATATTGTACTGTTACTTATGGTGGTTCATGTAGTGGATGTACAGTATATATATTGTACTGTTACTTATGGTGGTTCATGTAGTGGATGTACAGTATATATATTGTACTGTTACTTATGGTGGTTCATGTAGTGGATGTGCAGTATATATATTGTACTATTACTTATAATTGGGTTCATGTAGTGGATGTACAGTATATGTATTGTACTGTTACTTATGGTGGTTCATGTAGTGGATGTACAGTATATGTATTGTACTGTTACTTATGTGGTTCATGTAGTGGATGTACAGTATATGTTATTACTGTTACTTATGGTGGTTCATGTAGTGGATGTACTGTACAGTATATGTATTGTAATGATTACTTATGTTGGTTCATGTAGTGGATGTACTGTACAGTATATGTATTGTACTGTTACTTATGGTGGTTCATGTAGTGGATGTACTGTACAGTATATGTATTGTACTGTTACTTATGGTGGTTCATGTAGTGGATGTACTGTACAGTATATGTATTGTACAGTTTCTTATGGTGGTTCATGGAGTGGATGTACTGTACAGTATATGTATTGTACAGTTTCTTATGGTGGTTCATGTAGTGGATGTACTGTACAGTATATGTATTGTACAGTTTCTTATGGTGGTTCATGTAGTGGATGTGCAGTATATGAATTGTACTGTTACTTATGGTGGTTCATGTAGTGGATGTACAGTATATGTATTGTACAGTTACTTTTGGTAGTTCATGTAGCAGATGTACAGTATATGTATTGTACTGTTACTTATGGTAATTCATGTAGTAGTAGTAGTAACACTATTACGACTACTATTAGAAAATAATATTAATGTTTTATCTTCACGTCCATCAACAAATTTGGACATCTCAAAATATTTCTGTCGTTGACTTAGTGACAGAAACGTGATCAAACTTTGCTTCATTTGAGATACATTTCGAAGTTTGGGTAAATTTGACCCATATGAGAATAAAGATCAAGCTTATTTGAGGTCACTGAATATTGAAAACTAAGGTTATTTACTTGTTAAATTATCAATACAAGGAAGAATAACACCGTTTGTTGACTGGCTGAAGAGGTTATACAGTAAGCTTCTAGACACAAGCTTTTTACCTGAGTGGCTGGAGTAGTGAATGGACCACAAAATAGAAAAAGAAAACTTATTTATTCAATATATTTTTTTAACATGACTGTGAGTAATTGTGTAAGGTCTTGCATAACACATTAGGTAACCTATCTTATCAGGGGTAAACCACCACCCGTGTTGATGCCGCCCTTATCTCATGATAACAGTACCAGTCCTAACTAGCTGGCCTCCTCCCTCTCTCTCTCACACACACGCCCACATCTACGGTACACACACACACACACACATCCACCCACATATACATACATACATACACAAACTCGCCCAAACACACACACACACACCTCCATTATTATACGTCTCCTCAAGCATCTGTAATAATGGACGAGTTGTCGGTTCTGAGTAAACACGAGAAATACTCACTGCCACGTTCGTAGAGTGATACGGTATGTATAATTTGTAATAAAAGTTTAAAGTCCTGCTATAACAGTCGAGATAAGTTTACTTCTTTAGAAACAGGGCCGCCATTTGCAATGACGTCACCAGTTTCCCCGCAGACGCCGTTCTCCAATAAACTCACCCCTGTAGTTGGAGGTAGTACAAAGGATGACCTCTCCAGACCCCAACTGCCACGTTCAGGTAAGTTTTTTTTTTCTGGTCTAAGTCATGGACATTTCGTAAGTGAAGATATGTGCAGTGAAGAGCAGCTTATGGACATAAAAAACTGCCCTGTTCACACCAGCTCAGCTGTCATGTATTCTTACCTGGTAAACTTTCTCTTTTTTTCCCAGTGCATTTACAGAGTATATCAGTACTAGATGGAGATACGAGTCAATTGAGAATTAATCACATTGTCTGGACTTTGTTTTGAGAATGCATTGGAATATATCATCATTTATATTAATTAATGAGTAAAATTTTACTTTAACTACCATAAGTATTTGGATGTATAGATTTAAGATGGACTATATTGGGTAAATTTTAAGGTTTGGTCATCCCTGTACTTAGACATGCAGACTATGTTTTTCTGGTGGTTTACGATGTGCTATGGACGATTTTGATCTTCACTTCTATCGGAAATCACTAGTTTCGAGTTACTACCCCCCCCCCCTTACCGGTGTATGTTAAGCTAACCTAACCTAACATATGACCTGTGTTTTCTTATGCAATCGAAAAATGTTTTGCGACAGAAATCCCGTAGAGATAATGTGTCTTATTGTTTAAAGTACTTAATCCCATAGTTAGAATCTTAAGGTTCCCCAGATGACCAAAATAATACCAATATTGTGTGGAATGTTTATACTATGAAATTTGTATTAGGGGTAGCTAATATCCATTGAACTAGTTAATGTGCTTATCATGTTTATATATTCAATATAGCATTACTGTGTTGCACAGTAAAGCATAATTAATTATCTAATAATATTTATTTACAAAGCCGATCAGCCGAGAAGGTTGGACAACTACTGCCAGGGTTCATCAAGGCAGATGAAAGAAATTTACCAAAAGTAGATGTCTTTATGATTGTAGATTATTATCAAGAACTCCGCCATCCAGCCATGAAGCACGTTAAATTACATGTCACTGATCATCTCAAGCCCATCCCCTGGCCATGGTCGTCCCTGGTCCTTCCACAACATTAAATATAGACATCGGTGACGAAATCTTACATTTTCCAGACATGAAATAGAGAACAGTGATGAAAACTTCCATGTTGGAGTTATCGGTCTTTTGCATCATTTTGGCACCCACCAAGTAAATACACACGGTGTATGCCTGTGTATATCGACATTGTATACGGCCACAAGTCCTGTATTTCTGCTGGTAACAACACATACACCACAGCTGGCTGCCTCCAGGCTCCCGCTCGGCGGCTCGAGCCAACCTGTGACGTCATAACCAATCAAGCTTTTTCGAAGTCACGTGACTTTAGCTACTTTAGCCCTTATTTTTTACACTTTTTAGCCCAATCTATTTAAAAATATCATTACCATGGTGAATTTAAGCGTTTTCTTTACCCATTGACCTGCCATCTAACGAAAAAATTCCGACAGACAACTCGTCTATTAAGACGTTCAAACGCACATACATCTCCCCAAACACCTGCCATAATATACCTACGTATGGAAATATCTCTTCAAACACCTGTCATAATTACAACCACAACACCTGTATCATCCAAATTTTCACTAAACACTTGCTTTAATTACGATCACGTCTCACCTAACACATGTGCGGCCACGTTTGCCTTAAACACCTGTCAGAATTATGATCAAACACCTTACCAAATATATATATATATATATATATATATATATATATATATATATACAGTATATGTGTGCCTGTTTCTTCCCCAAATGTGCCCTAAATACGACACTCACACACCTGGTAGTCACCACAAACAACTGTAATAAACAAGTTGCCCCATTCACACCTAAAAACACTATTGACGTCAGATATCAGAACTGGACGTCTGATGCTGAACATGACTGAAACATGTTAAAGTACACTGTATATCAGTCTCTCTCTCCCCTTCATTCATTCTCTCACTCAACTTTCCACAAATCACGTATTTCTAAGGTAAAAGGTTTTGTCCCTGCAACTAAATGATATTTTTTTTCGACATTTTCAGAGTCGCTGTACCGCCTCCCTGACCTTCCGCCACAAATACTGTTATTACAACACACGTTAAAAAAAGCCGAAGTCGAAGATAATTTTGATTTCAGAGTAAGTGGGTTGAGAAAAGCACCTGATTGGCTGCAGGTTGGAGGAGGATTTATCACTCAGCCAATCAGGTGGGTTGAGATGACTTTCATAAAGGGCTGGTAGTGGGTCTTTCCCAAGCAGCCACTTGGACGAGTAATAGCGTACAGGAGCTTCCGGTGATGTTCTGGTTAGTTGGGTGATGAAGTGGTGGTGGTGGTAGTGGTTGTGGTTGTTGTTGGTGGTGGTGACTGGTGCATTGTGGTGGTTGGCTGGTGGTGGCTGGTGCGTTGTGGTGGTTGGCTGGTGGTGGCTGGTGCGTTGTGGTGGTTGGCTGGTGGTGGCTGGTGCGTTGTGGTGGTTGGCTGGTGGTGGCTGGGGTGGTGGCTGGTGGTGTGGTGGTGGTGGTTGGCTGGTGGTGGCTGGTGCGTTGTGGTGGTTGGCTGGTGGTGGCTGGCGCGTTGTGGTGGTTGGCTGGTGGTGGCTGGTGCGTTGTGGTGGTTGGCTGGTGGTGGCTGGTGTGGTGGTTGGCTGGTGGTGACTGGTGCGTTGGTGGTGGTGGCTGGTGGTGGTGGTTGTGCTGGTGGTTGTGGTGTGTGGTGGTTGGCTGGTGGTGGCTGGTGGTTGGTGGTTGGCTGGTGGTGGCTGGTGGTGGCTGGTGGTGGTTGGCTGGTGGTGGCTGTTGGTTGTGGTGCTGGTGGTGGCTGGTGCGTTGTGGTGGTTGGCTGGTGGTGGCTGGTGCGTTGTGGTGGTTGGCTGGTGGTGGCTGGTGCGTTGTGGTGGTTGGCTGGTGGTGGCTGGTGCGTTGTGGTGGTTGGCTGGTGGTGGCTGGTGCGTTGGTGTGGCTGGTGGTGGGTGGTGGTGGTGTGGGTGGTTGGCTGGTGGTGGCTGGTGCGTTGGTGGCTGGTGGTGGCTGGTGCGTTGTGGTGGTTGGCTGGTGGTGGCTGGTGCGTTGTGGTGGCTGGTGCGTTGTGGTGGTTGGTGGTGGTGGCTGGTGCGTTGTGGTGGTTGGCTGGTGGTGGCTGGTGCGTTGTGGTGGTTGGCTGGTGGTGGCTGGTGGTTGTGGTGATTGGTTGGTGGGTGGTGGTAATGGTGGCTAGCTGTGCGTTGTAGTGGTTGGCTAGTGGTGGCTGGTGCGTTGTGGTGGTTGGCTGGTGGTATGGTGCGTTGTGGTGGCTGGTGCGTTGTGGTGGTTGGCTGGTGGCTGGTGCGTTGTGGTGGCTGGTGCGTTGTGGTGGGTTGGCTGGTGGTGGCTGGTGCGTTGTGGTGGTTGGCTGGTGGTGGCTGGTGGTTGTGGTGGTTGGCTGGTGGTGGCTGGTGCGTTGTGGTGATTGGTTGGTGGGTGGTGGTAATGGTGGCTAGCTGGTGCGTTGTAGTGGTTGGCTAGTGGTGGCTGGTGCGTTGTGGTGGTTGGCTGGTGGTGGCTGGTGCGTTGTGGTTGGCTGGTGGTGGTGGTGGTGGTTGTGGTAGTGGCTGTAGTGTGGTTGGTGGTGGTGGTGGGGTCCCCTCTCATCATTTCCTCCTCCCCTCTCTCTTCTTTACCTTCCCATATTCCCATTTTTTCCATCTCTTCTTTCTCCTCCCATCTCTTTCCTTCCTTTCATCATTCTTCTCTCTCCTACCCCCCCTTTACTCTCTTTCTCTACACCCTTTCACCCTCCCTCCCTGTCTACACTCTCCTCTAATCCACTCTCTCTCTCTCTCTCTCTCTCTCTCTCTCCACCTTCATCTTCTGCCCCTCCTTCCTACTTCTCTTTTTACCCTTGTTCTTTCCTCTCCTATCTTTTTTTATCCATGGAGAAGGAGGAGGAAGAAGAAAAAAGGAGTAGAAATAGAAAAGAAAAAAAAATATACACTAGAAAGAAGAGGAAGACAAGAGTAGTTCAGGTACACCACCTCGCCACACATTAGTCACCTGTGGTAATGATCGCTAATGGCTCTGTATGCCCGTGTGGCACCTGACGGCACCTCCATCAATACTACCGATTACTTACTGCAGGAGGAGCTGATTGATAGTGACTGGAGGAGTAAGTGAGTGATAGTGACTGGAGGAGTAAGTGAGTGATAGTGACTGAAGGAGTAGATAATAGTTACTGGAATATTAAATGAGAGTCACAAGCAGACAATACAGCTCGAAACACCTCACGCTTGGTGATTTAAACTTGCTCACACAACTGATGGTAAAGTTACGAGGTTGAAGTAGACTGAATATTACCACCCAGGGCCACGGGGACGATACGTGGGTCTCGTCAAAAGTTATTTCTTATAAACTTGTAACCATTATGTATGTTCCATGTGGATCCTGGAACACTGTGCTTGCCTTGTTCTCACTTACTATGCGAAAGAGAAACTATCTGAGCCCAGACTTTGTAATTATTCGTTTTTTTTTTAAATCTTTGAGAAGATATCATATAGTGGTTTCAAAATTAATATGATACATAATTTCATCTTTTTGGTCTTTACTGAAAACAACAATAATATATAATTAATTTGCTTACAAAATTATTTGAGTTTGTATTAGTAAAATAATAATATCGTTCCTAACTTGTAAATTTATATCTTAAATGCGACAAGTTATGTCATATTAAATAATATACTCTGCTTCCTGTTAACATTTACAATATTGTGCGGGACAACACATATTATCGGGGTTACAGTAAAACAATTCCCTGATCCATAATTTGTGATTTTGCGGGTTATTGAAACTTTCCCTTATAATATGACCGACTAATATTTGTAGTTAAAATAAGTGTTTAACATATTTATTGTATATATTTAGTGATCACAAAGACTGGTGTAATAAATCAACATTATGGAAGGAGAAATTGAATATATTCCATTGTGGTTGTGTACGCTCCCTTTAACCCTTCTGGCAGTGATAATGGAACCATATTTTAACATAATCGCTAAATATAATTAAATTAATTATATAAAATAAACACTATTTATTCACTGTCAGAGTCTCTCCCTGAGGTAGGATTGTTCGCGGTGAAATAGTTTTGGTAGTAAGTACACCCGGCTGAACACAGGAGGTTATTCTCTCTACCTGTGTACAGTACAGTGCAGTAGCTCCCGTAAGTGAAGTCACACGGGAGTAGTTGTTAAGTATATACCTGGATAAATTGAAGCATCATCACAACTGGCTTAAGTGTGCCACAATCAGGACCCCAGCCACATTCTCCAGGTGTCTGGGACTGTAGGTGTGGGCATGGGACCCTCGCGCCAAACAATCACGTGATGGCAGCCTGTGATGCCTCAGTGCACCCCTGGTAGGCGGTGGTTTTTCAGGGTCACTGATCCGAGGGAACAATTCTCCCCTGAGATCATTCACCCATGTTGTGTAACATGTGGGACTGTACATTGCAACAACAAACTTTTCTGCACCATCAAACTCATGTTGTGTCACCACATAACATCAATAACTTAGATTCTTTAACAAGATTGCCGAGCTGTCCCTTCCGTGGCCAGACACAGCTGGCGGAGTAATAGTCAGCTAAGATACAGAAGGTTGTCGAGGCAGCTACAGTCCATGGGGGAGTGGCATCCTCACTTCGTGTATTACAATATCCGTTGGCTAAGGCAGTACTAGCTCCGGTCTACACTTGACTGGCTGTTTTACGATGAAGTGATTGGATCATGACAATGGTGTCACGACTGTGTACCGCCACCCATTAATACCCTTCCACTGTAACATCACTTTGTAGGTGTCTGCCTCCTCATGTGTTAGTGCCCAGATGGTCCACATTGGGACTGATGATAACACGTCTTGGGTCAGTGAAGCTTCCAGCCACAACAACAACATCTGAAGCTGATTGTAAACTTGCTACACAAAGCAAGACCTGAAGTCTAAGAGGCCGTATAAGAACATTCTTGCTCTCTTCCAAATATATGAGACAAAAGATTGTTGGATCAAAACAAAAGTGGTCAGTGATGCACTAATTCTCTACCCATCTGGTTCAGCCCCCCCCCTCCCTTGTGTCTGCTTTCTTGGATTTGCGTCCAGATATTTCGAATAAACCATCCTCTTCTTTGTTAACGCCTGACAAGTGGCTAAATGTACTTTATGAAACAAGCTTGGCTAGATCACCAAGTGTGACAGCAGCTGTTGGTTTTCCAATGACACAAACAAGTGCCGTGACACAGATAACCATACACGTGGGCTGGTCATCGGATGCCAGCCTTAAAAAACAACTGAGATTACATGGAAAGGCTCAATTTTTTTTTTAATTTGTCTGAGTTTCCCCATTCAAAATTGTCAATGGTGAGGACACAGGAGCCCACTCCTGCTGCAACAATGAGCTGACGACGGATCTGTTTGTTTGCGTTAATGGGCCACCTCCTGGACTTCCCCTGCCTTACAATGGTGTCACAGAGACAATAGTGTAGTGCGATTTACCAGCCGCTTTTCTATAACATTCAAGTAAAGCGTCGATACTCGCTCTGGTATTAAGTAGGTTCTTTTTTGGCATCACAATTCGCTTCATTAGCTAAGATACAGAGGAGCTTCTCTCTGTCACGGAACTTGACTTTTTATATATAAGGTTTTCCTAACCTCCCCTAAGACGTGACTGACACATTTTCTTTATTGGTTTCTGAACACCTGACGAAGACATTAGAAACATTCTAAAACTGCCATTTGCAAGTCGAGAAAGTTAACAAAGGTCAATAACCAACGATGTAGAGCCGACGGGGTGCGTGTGGTGCCAACCTCGCCACCAGCAGTTGATACGTTTTCTCACTCGGGCCTAAAGATTAGTGGTTGAAATTTCCCTCTAATGATTTTACACCAAAGTCTCCAGCCATGAACTCACCATGAATTCTCTAGCATTGTTTGTGAGCTACAATGTGTCGGATGTCTGCTAGATACACAGGGCCTCAGCACCTGACTTATGGGGACAAACAGTACACAGCACAAGAGGGAGCAAGTCGCCTCTCTCTCTCTCTCTCTCTCTCTCTCTCTCTCTCTCTCTCTCTCTCTCTCTCATATCTCTTTAGTGCTTCCAAAACACAAAAAAATTTCTCCACACTCTTGGATTACAACCTTTTAGAAAGTCCTCCATCAAGTCGTCGTCCAGAACCTTAGTCTAAGTACCATCTCCCTCGTCTCCTTGTATGACCTGTTCCAGTTCCTTCCCACCATGACCTGTTCCAGTTCTTTTCTACCATGACCCGTTCCAGTTTTCTCCCATCATGACCTGTTCTAGTTCTCTCCCACCATGCCTTGTCCCAGTTCTCTCCCATCATGACCTGTTCTAGTTCTCTCCCATCATGACCTGTCCCAGTTCTCTCCCACCATGACCTGTTCCAGTTCTCTCCCACCATGACCCGTTCCAGTTCTCTCCCATCATGACCTGTTCTAGTTCTCTCCCATCATGACCCGTTCAGTGCTCTCCCACCACTTCCAGCCTGTTCAGTTCTCCCATGACCTGTGCCAGCTCTCTCCCACCATGACCCATTCCAGTTCTCTCCCACCACCAGCCCGTTCAGTTCTCTCCCACCACTTGGAGGAGGCCTGTTCCCGAGGTTCCTACCCGCCCCAGTTCTCTCTCACCACTTGACCTGTTCCAAATTCTCTCCCACCACGTATAATTTCCAGTTCTCCACCGCAGCCCACGTTCCAGTTCTCTCCCACCATGACCTGTTCAGTTCTCTCCTACCACGGCCTGTTCCAGTTTCTCTCCACCTGACCTGTTCAAGTTCTCTCCCCACCATGACCTGTTCAGTTCTCTCCTATGACTGTTCAGTTCTCTCTCACCATGACCTGTTCCAGTTCTCTCCCACCATGACCTGTTCCAGTTCTCTCCCACCATAACCTGTTCCAGTTCTCTCCCACCATGACCTGTTCCAGTTCTCTCCCACCATAACCTGTTCCAGTTCTCTCCCACCATGACCTGTTCCAGTTCTCTCCCACCATGACCCGTTCCAGTTCTCTCCCACCATGACCTGTCCCACCACTGTCTCCCTAACCACCCTGCCTGGAGCCCATATACCCACACGTCGGGGGTGGCAATGGGTGTGTGGATGGCCCCTTATGTTACAGTGTTTAATAATAGTGGAGAGTTAATATATTTCTTCATATAAGACTTTAACATACAGATAATATAATAAATTAGGGTTAAACTGATAAATAATATGTCCCATTTGATGTAAAAAAATAAAATAAATAAAAGAAGTTCTGTGAAATTTCCCAATTAAATTTATGTGTTTTATTCAATAATTTTCTTTATAAACAATTCAGAAAAGAAACTATATCTATTTTTTCTCACTTAATTACTCACATGTTACATATCCTCTAACATTGAATACAAATTTTATTTAAGCTAAATGTCAAATATAAACACTATAATGATACTTGTTGAAGACTAATGACTATATGGAAGTTGTTTATAAAAACGCGAAGAGATGAATGACAGCAGGAAATTATGGCAAACATTTCTCCTCATAACAAAGCTCTCTCTCTCTCTCTCTCTCTCTCTCTCTCTCTCTCTCTCTCTCTCTCTCTCTCTCTCTCCATTCATTCATCAATATACTAGTATCTATAAATTTCAGAATACAGTACCTTAAAATACAATACAACACATAAAGACATCCTTCACATTACATAATCTCCACAGAAGTTACATAACACTCAAGTTACCTGAACCATACACCTTTACGAGGCGCTTAGGTATTTCCGCTCACAGGTAAAACAATCAGGCTATCAGCACACTGTCCGGTACACCTCCCTCCTCCTCCTCCTCAACAACAACAACACCCTCCCATTTGTCGCCTTTTTTATGCTAAATTTTCCAAAGAACTAAAAAAAATATTAGCAAAAATGGGATCGCATGTAGATTAGCCCCCTAGCTCATGATTAAATACACTGACGCTAATCTAACCTAAGCTAATCTAGTCGAGTTTAGCCAGACCTATCTTAACCCAATCTAGCCTAACCTTACCTAACTTAGAACAAATCTAGCCCTACGTAACCTCATCTAGCCAAACGTCTCCTAATCCAGCCTAACTTAACCAAGCCTAACCTAACCTTGCCTACCCTAATCCAGTGTAGTTTAACTTAAATGAATCAAGTCAAACCTAACCTAACCTAACCTAACCTAACCTAACCTAACCTAACCTAACCAAACCTAACCTAGTCCAGCCTAATCTAACCTATTCTAACTTAACCATACCCAACGTAAACCCCAAGTAGAGTTAGGATGTCAATCATCAGGTGAAATAAGCTGGGGTGTCAAATATTCATGTGATCCGAAAAATTGTTCTCAAATTGGAAGTTGTACAGAGCAATATCCAAGGCGGGGAACGAAAATACTCAGGTGATCTTCGTTACTGAGTCAAAGTCTGGTGGTCAATCGTCTGTATCCTCACTTACTGTACAAATTGTCTGTCTGTTTGTTTCTGTCTGTCTGTACTATATATATCTGTTTGTCTAAGTCTGTCTACCTTTGTCTATCTATGTCTCTATCTGTGTCTGTCTATCTGTACTGTATATCTGTTTGTCTATGTCTATCTGCCTTTGTCTATCTGTGTTTTTTTCTTCTGTGTGTCTGTGTCAATCTGTGTCTGTTTGTCTATTTTCTGTGATCTTCCAAAATACTTACTATAGAGAATTACCTACACCTCACCGGGAAGCTCTTGTATCCGGGAGTGTTTTGTTGTTGACTGAAAATGCGTGAGAGGTGCGTGGGAGGGGCAAAGAGGTGCGTGGGAGGGGCAAAGAGGTGGTGGGGAGGGGCGGGAAGAGGTGTGGGGAGGGGAGGGGCGGGGAGGTGGGGTGGGGCAAAGAGGTGTGGGAGGGGCAAAGAGGTGTGGGAGGGGCAAGGGTGGGGAGGGGCAAAGAGGGCAAAGAGGTGGTGGGAGGGGCAAAGAGGTGGAGGTGGCAAAGAGGTGCGTGGGAGGGGCGTGGGAGGGGCAAAGAGGTGCATGGGAGGGCAAAGAGGTGGGAGGGCGTGTGGGAGGGCAAAGAGGTGCGTGGGAGGGCATGTGGTGGGAGGGCAAGAGGTGTGTGGGAGGGGCAAAGGGAGGGGCAAAGAGGTGCGTGGGAGGGGCAAAGAGGGAGGGGCAAAGAGGTGTGGAGGGCAAGGGTGCGTGGGAGGGGCAAAGAGGTGGGAGGGCAAAGAGGGTGTGGGGAGGCAAAGAGGTGCGTGGGAGGGGCAAAGAGGTGGTGCGTGGGAGGGGGCAAGAGCGTGGGAGGGGCAAAGAGGTGGTGGGTAAAGGGAAAGGGAAAGGTAAAGGGAGCGGAGAGGGTATAGTGGAGCGTGGGAGGGCAAAGTGGAGCATGAGAGGGGTAAGTGGAGGGAGGGGTAAAGTGGAGCGTGGGAGGGGTAAAGAGGTGTGAGAGGGTAAAGTGGAGCGTGAGAGGGGTAAAGTGGAGCATGGGAGGGAGGGGAAGGAGGAGAGAGAGAGAGAGAGAGAGAGAGAGAGAGAGAGAGAGAGAGAGAGAGAGAGAGAGAGAGAGAGAGAGAGAGAGCCACGGTAACAAAGTGTGGTAATAATGGAGATAATTAATGGTACATTCTTTTGCATGTATGTGGTTACCTGCTGGGAATTGCCAACACTAAGGTTGTGGTAGCTGAGGTTGTTGTTGTGGTTGTGTTGTTAGTTATGAGTTGAAATTGTAACGACGGTATGGTGTATTACTATTATTGTTGTGGTAGTAATGAATGAGACTGAAATAAGATTGTGTTACTGTACTGTAGTTTAGGTGTGTGGTTGTAATTGGTGTTATAGTTGTGGTTGCAATTGATGGCCTAAGTATGGTAGCTGTGGTTATAATTTTGGTTGTGTTGCTTGTCACTACTGGATTGGTGGTGCACATGTGGTAGTTGATGCTTGAGTGTCTCTAGTAGTAGCTGTGGTGGTGGTGGTGGTGGTGGTATTGACTGGTTGTGGCTGTGTTGATTGTGACATGTTGTAAAGAGTGTGGTGGTTGTGGTAGGGGGTGTGGTGGTTGTGGTAGAGGGTAAATTGGCTGTGGTAGAAATGTGGTGGTTATGGTATGGTGGTGGTGGTTATGGTATGGTGTGATTGTTGTGGTAGAGAGTGTGGTGGTTGTGGTAGAGGGTGTGGTGGTTGTGGTAGAGGGTGTGGTGGCTGTGGTAGAAATGTGGTGGTTATGGTAGAGAGGTGGTGGTTACGGTATGGTGTGATTGTTGTGGTAGAGTGTGGTGGTTGTGGTAGAGAGTGTGGTGGGTGTGGTGGTTGTTGTAGAGGGTGTGGTGGTTATGGTACAGTGTGGTGGTTGTAGTAGAGGTGTGGTGGTTGTAGGGAGAGTGTGGTGGTTGTGGTATAGGTGTGGTGATTGTGGTAATAAAGTGGTGGTTGTGGTATAGTGTGGTGGTTGTGGTAGAGTGTGGTGGTTGTGGTATAGAGATGTGGTGGTTGTGGTATAGGGTGTGGTGGTTGTCGTAGGGTGTGGTGGCTGTGGTAGGGTGTGGTGGTGATGGCAGGGGACTATGGTAGAGGCTGTGGTGGTGTGACAGGGCTGTGGTAGGGTGTGGTGGTGGCTGGCAGGGGCTGTGGTAGGTGTGGTGGTGGCTGGCAGGGCTGTGGTAGAGGTGTGGTGGTGGCTGGGAGGGGCTGTGGTGGGGTGTGGTGGTGGCTGGGAGGGGCTGTGGTGGGGGTGTGGTGGTGGCTGGCGGGGCTGTGGTAGAGGCTGTGGCGGTGTCGCAGGGCTGTGGTAGAGGCTGTGGTGGTGGCTGGAGAGGGCTGTGGTGGGGTGTGGTGGTGGCTGGCAGGGCTGTGGTAGAGGTGTGGTGGTGGCTGGAGGGCTGTGGTGGGGTGTGGTGGTGGCTGGCAGGGGCTGTGGTGAGGGCTGTGGCGGTGGCTCCAGGGGCTGTGGTAGAGGCTGTGGCGGTGGCTCGCAGGGGCTGTGGTAGAGGTGTGGTGGTGACTGGCAGGGGGCTGTGGTGAGGTGTGGTGGTGGCTGGCAGGGGCTGTGGGGTGTGGCGGTGGCTCGCAGGGGCTGTGGTAGAGGCTGTGGCGGTGGATCCGCAGGTGCTGTGGTAGGGAGCTGGTGGTGGCTGGTGGGGCTGTGGGGGTGTGGTGGTGGCTGGCAGGGGCTGTGGTGAGGCTGTGGCGGTGGCTCCAGGGGCTGTGGTAGAGGCTGTGGTGGTGGCTGGCAGGGGCTGTGGTGGGGTGTGGTGGTGGCTGGCAGGGGCTGTGGTGTGGGGTGTGGTGGTGGCTGGGGGCTGTGGTGGGCTGTGGTGGTGGCGCAGGGGGCTGTGGTGGGGTGTGGTGGTGGCTGGCGGGGCTGTGGTGGGGTGTGGTGGTGGCTGGGGCTGTGGTGGGGTGTGGTGGTGGCTGGCAGGGGCTGTGTTAAGGCTGTGGTGGTGGCTCGCAGGGGCTGTGGTGGGGCTGTGGTGGTGGCTGGGGGCTGTGGTGGGGGTGTGGTGGTGGCTGCAGGTGCTGTGGTAGAGGCTGTGGTGGTAGCTCAGGGGCTGTGGTGAGGCTGTGGTGGTGGCTGGGGGCTGTGGTGGGGCTGTGGTGGTGGCTGGTGAGGCTGTGGTGGGGCTGTGGCGGTGTCGCGGGCTGTGGTGGGGGCTGTGGTGGTGGCTGGTGAGGCTGTGGTGAGGCTGTGGTGGTGGCTGGCAGGGGGCTGTGGTAGAGGCTGTGGTGGTGGCTGGCAGGGGCTGTGGTAGAGGCTGTGGTGGGCTGGGGCTGCCAGAACAGCTGCGGCGGCTGAGTTGGTCATGCATTACATTCCTTAACTTCCGCTCCAGCTGCTGCTGCTTCTGCTGTTGCTGTTACTGTTAGTTCTGCTGGTGTTCCTGTTGCTGTTACTCTTAGGGCTGCTGCTGTTCCTGTTCCTGCTAGTGTTCTTGTTGTTGCTGTTTTTGTTCTTGTAACTGTTAGAGCTGTTGTGGTTCCTGTTACTGTTAGGGCTGCTGGTGTTACTGTTGCTGTTACTCTTAGAGCTGCTGGTGTTCCTGTGGTATGTGTGATAGTACTCTTGTTGTCCTTTTATTTTATGTGACATTTTGTTGTTATTGTTGATACTGTTAGTGCTGCTGGTGTTACTGTTACTGGCGTTCCTGTTACTGCTATTATTACTGTTAGTGCTGTTGGTGTTACTGTAAGTGCTGCTGGTGTTACTGTTGCTGTTGTTACTGTTAATGCTGTTGGTGTTACTGTTAGTGCTGCTCGTGTTACTATTACTGTTAGTGCTGCTGGTGTTACTGTTAAAGCTGCTGGTGTTACTGTTGCTGTTATTGATATTGTTAGTGCTGCTGGTGTTACTTTCTGTTGTTGATACTATTAGTGCTGCTGGTGTTACTGTTGCTGTTATTGATACTGTTAGTGCTGCTGAGTGTTGCTGTTGTTGATACTAATTTAATGCTGCTGGTGTTCCTGGTTATTGTATTGATATTGTTAGTGCTGCTGGTGTTACTGTTGCTGTTATTGATACTATTAGTGCTGCTGGTGTTACTGTTGCTGTTATTGATATTGTTAGTGCTACTGGTGTTACTGTTGCTGTTATTGATACTATAAGTGCTGCTGGTGTTACTGTTGCTGTTTGATACTGTTATGCTGGTGTTACTGTTTATTGAGACTGTTAGTGCTGCTGGTGTTACTGTTGGTAATGCTGGTGTTACTGTTGCTGTTATTGATACAATTAGTACGCTTTCGTTATTTCTGTTCTATTGTTACTGTTAGTGCTGCTTGTTTTCCTGTTGCTGTTATAGTTAGTGCTGCTGTTACTGTTGCTGTAAGTGCTGTTGGTGCTCTGTTCATGCTATTACTGTTAGTGCTGCTGTTCCTCTTAATGTTATTGCTACTGCTAGTCCCTACTGGTGTTACTGTTACTAATCTTCCTGTTAGTGTTATTCCTGCTGTTCCTGTTGCTGTTATTGTCACTGTTAGTGCTGTTGGTGTTTTTGTTAATGTTGGTGCTGCTGGTGTTCCTGTTGCTGTTACTGCTACTGGTGTTCCTGTTACTGTTAATGCTGCTGGTTTTGACTATTGTCATCAGTGCTGCTGGTGTTCCTGTTGCAGTTATTATTGTTAGTGCTGCTGGTGTTACTGTTACTGTTAGTGCTGCTGGTGTTGCCATTACTGTTAGTTCTGCTGGTGTTCTCGTGCAGTTATTGTTACTGTTAGTGCAGCTGATGTTACCGTTACTGTTACGCTGCTGGTGTTGCCATTACTGTCAGTGCTGCTGGTGTTCCTCTTGCAGTTATTGTTATTAGTGCTGCTGGTGTTCTGTTGCAGTTATTGTTACTGTCAGTGCTGCTGGTGTTCCTGTTGCAGTTATTGTTACTGTTAGTGCAGCTGATGTTACTTTTGCCATTACTGTTTCTGTTAGTGCTGTTGGTGTTCCTGTTAGTGCTGGTTCCGTTACTGTTAGTGCTGCTGGTGTTCCTGTTGCTGTTAGTGCTGCTGGTGTCTCGTTGTTATGCTGCTGGTGATCCTGTTACTGTTGTGCTGCTGGTGATCCGTTATGTTAGTGCTGCTGGTGTTCCTGTTACTGTTAGTGCTGCTGGTGTTCCTGTTGCTGTTATTGTACTGTTAGTTCTGTTGGTGTTTCTGTTGCTGTTATTGTTACTGTTAGTGTTGTTGATGTTCCTGTTGCTGTTATTGTTACTGTTAGTGCTGCTGATGTTCTGTTACGTGTTGTGCTGCTGGTGTCCTGTTACTGTTAGTGCTGGTGGTGTTGCCGTTACTGTTAGTGCTGCTGGTATTCCTGTTGCAGTTATTGTTACCGTTAGCGCTGCTGGTGTTACTGTTACTGTTAGTGCTGCTGGTGTTGCCATTACCTGTTAGTGCTGCTGGTGTTCCTGTTGCAGTTACTGTTAGTGCTGCTGGTGTTCTTCTTACTGTTAGTGCTGCTGGTGTTCCTCTTACTGTTAGTGCTGCTGGTGTTCCCGTTACTGTTAGTGCTGCTGGTTCCCTTACTGTTAGTGCTGCTGGTGTTCCTGTTGCTGGTGCCCTGTTGGTGCTGCTGGTGATCCTGTTACTGTTAGTGCTGGGTTCTGTTACTGTTATTGTTACTGTTAGTGTTGTTGGTGTTCCTGTTGCTGTTATTGTTACTGTTAGTTGCTGCTGGTGTTCCCTGTTAGTGCTGGTGGTGTTACTGTTATTGATGGTGGTGTTCCTCTATTCTTACTGTTAGTGCTGCTGGTGTTCTCTACTCACTGTTAGCTGCTGCTGGTGTTCCTGTTATTGTTACGCTGGTGATGCTGGTGTTCCTGTTGCTGTTATAGTTACTGTTGTCTCTGGTGTTCGTGTTACTGTTATAGTTACTGTTAGTGCTGCTGGTGTTCCTCTTACTCACTGTTAGTGCTGCTGGTGTTCCTGTTGCTGTTATAGATACCGTTAGTTCTGTTGGTGTTCGTGTTGCGGTTATAGTTACTATTGTGCTGCTGGTGTTCGCCTTACTCTTACTGTTAGTGCTGCTGGTTCCTTTTTTGTTACTGTTAGTGCTGCAGGTGTTCCCTTACATCATACTGTTAGTGCTGCTGGTGTTCCTATCAATACTGTTGTGCTGCTGGTGTTACTGTTACTGCTAGTGCTGCTGGTGTGCCTGTTATTATAACTGTTAGTGCTGCTGGTGTTCCTGTTTTTTACTGTTAGTGCTGGCTGGTGTTCTTACTCATACTGTTATGCTGGTGTGTTCCTATCATTACTGTTAGTGCTGCTGGTGTTACTGTTACTGCTAGTGCTGCTGGTGTGCCTGTAATTATAACTGTTAGTGCTGGTGTTCCTGTTATTGTTACTGTTAGTGCTGCTGGTGTTTCTGTTTGAATATTATTAATGTTAGTTCTGTTTGTGTTCCTGTTTCGTTATTATTAATGTTAGTTCTGTTGGTGTTCCTGTCGCTGTTATTGTTACTGTTAGTGTTGTTGGTGTTACTGCTGCTGTTAAGTATTACTGTAAGCCTTTACTGGTGTTCCTGTTACTCTTACTGTTAGTGCTACTGGTGTTCCTGTTAATATTAGTGCTGTTGGTGTTCCTATTACTGTTATTGTTACTGTTAGTGCTGCTGGTGTTACTGTTACTGTTGGTGCTGCTGGTGTTACTGTTAGTGCGGCTGGTGTTCCTGTTACTGTTATTGTTACTGTTGGTGATGCTGGTGTTACTATTACTGTTTGTTACTGTTAGTGCTGTTGGTGTTACTGTTGGTGTATGCTGGTGTTCCTGTTATTGTTAGTGCTGCTGGTGTTCCTATTACTGTTATTGTTACTGTTGGTCCTGCTGGTGTTCCTGTTACTGTTAGTGCTG